CAATCTGGCATTGTCCATGAAGTTTTAATTAATAATAATAATTTTGGATAATATTATAAAGTGGTTCTGAATTTCCGTCTCCCCTCGTTTATGACATTCAACGTTGAGGTTATTATTAATCGTATATGACAGGAATTACTTCACTTATTTTACTTTATTTACTAAATATCAATGTTAGATGAAAAAATGATTAATTAAGATTGTTTTGTTTTTTTTAATTTCGGACCTGGCAAAATTGAAAATGCTAAAATGGTACATTGTTTTCGTTTTGGGCAACTTTTCCCATTCTGTGATTTGATTTCTTTTCTAAGAGAAAACAATGGGTTTTGTCGTAACGGATGATTTCATCAGTAGATTGTTAGTACACACTGGCTCGATCATCAATTTCGAAATGTTCATCTATACTAATAGAACGGAACATTTTTTATTTGTGCTACATAAATAAAATTATGTTAAGAAATCGTCAGATATCAAGTTATGGATACAATTTGAAATAGTCATAAATAGTGTACATTGATTTACTTTTTAAATTGAATTTATCATTTGGCTCGTAGAAAAAATTATTTTATTCAATTTTAATTATTACATACATTTATTCCTTTATGTTCACAATTACTGGCAATTTTCTGTTTGATACAAAAGGATAAGACAAGGCAATATTATTTCGTGTTTTTATATCGCACATTGCGAAGGATTTTTTGAAATTGGTCTTTTATAAATTGGCAATTGCAATGTTTTCTTTCCTTATTATACGTAATTCTAATTGCTCTTTTTTGAAGTCATAAAATTTTTATGAAATAATTTTCACTAACCCAACATTCAAACAAATCAAAACAGATCCTTTGAATAGTATCATATAGCACTCTCAAGACCTCAATGTTCACTTTGTTTCGTACTTTGTATAGTAAAAACTACTGAGCGCAATTTTTTCTGCATAAGATGTTTTTGGACAAAATAAGCTTTAAAAGTGAGAGTACATATTTTTATTACTTATAGTTTTGTATATATAATAATTAATGGACGACTAACGGTTCGACCGAGATTTTTCAGTCGTTTTAATAAATAGATCATTAAATAGTTACATTTTACATTGCTTTGTTTATGATTAAAATAATAGTATTCACTCACAAATTTGTATTTACAGCTTTATTTTATTAAAAAATGAAATGGGCATAAATGAGGACAAAAATATACGAATAAAAAGCATTCTGAAAATTAAATGCTAATTTGCTTTAGCATATATTAATTTTTTTAATGTTCTCAACTTGAAATCATTTCTTTAAGTTGAAGTAAAATTCTTTTTTTATGAAACGAAATTTAGCATGTACACGTTGGATATGTAAATAATACTTTAAAATGTTTAATACCAAGGAAGACAATTTAGAAAATCTATAAAAAAATTTCCACGGCAGGTTTTTTCATCCCACACAATATATAGAATAACTGGAAATTGTAAGTTTTTCTTCTTTCCAATATTCCGTACTAACTCTTTAATAAATAACTGAGTTTGTTCTTTAAAATTAATATTTTTTAGAAATAATTGTAAGTGTTTGGTTTAAACTGATATTGGTATAGGAATTAACTGTTTTATATAAGTACAAATTTACACATTAATATACACACGTGTACAGAATTGAGTCATCACTTCTCGCAGTCAACAGGAAATTCCAACTTTTGCAATTTAGTATTAATTAACGGCAGGTTTCGTAATCAGTTCCTAAAACTAATCCCCTTTTACACTCAATCTTAGATGCAACCTTTCTTATTTACATACCGTTGCCTCAGTTAGGGGGTGGAAGTATTCGATATTCATCCATCACCCTTTTCACCTATCATATAACTAACCTAATTGAGGGTTGATGGGTACTCAATATTCCGCCATCGACCCTCTCACACTACACACACACTGGGGTGCACGACAATATCAGCATTATGCAATAAAAAACAACCGTGCTTCGTCTAAGCATCGGAACAGGGATCCCAGATGGTCATCGGGTGGCCGGCGCACCTTTCATTATATAAAGAGTTAAGGAGTCCTCCAGGTTGTTCGATCTGAAGAAGCCCAATTTTAAAGGGGGCGAGCTGCGTTGGTTTTTTAAAATGAGCTGAACTCTGCCGTTTGGAATATGGATGAGCAGGGCTTCTGTATCGACGGAGGCTGGTGTAGCAAATACATGACTGTCGGGGATGGTCGTTTCCTGGAGGATCTCTTATGGGATGCCGCTGAAGGGGGGCGAGTTTTCTTCGGCGGTCATGGAAGACTGGCTTGTATTACTGACGGGTGTTCGCCCTTTGGAGGATCTCAACGAGATGCCGCAGAAGAAGGGTATTCTCTTGCGTCGACCATAGATGGGGCGGCGAACGGCGGCGGGAGGTATTCAGGAACGATGATCGGGGCCCAAGACAGGTGTCCCCGTTGTCTGAGTTCGACTATTTGACTGCTTTCCGTTCTGTCGCCGGGGGAGAATTGGGAACTTTCCCCTTTTCCTCCATGTGCGATTAAGGGCTCGAATCACTGAGGAAGGGTCTCCGAGGAGTTGCCTTTTGAGGGTTTTGGTGAGATACCGCAGAAGGGGGGTAATCTCTTGTGTTCAGCCATTAAAGAATTAGTTAGAGAGCTCGAATAATACTGAGGAATCTCGATTCTTCCATTCGTAAAACTTCATTGCCGGTCTGGTCGCGGGGGAGAAAAAAAAACAAATGGAAACCGCAAAGAAATACTTCCAGTGCGGGCCCTAGCCTGCAAAAGTGAAGACTTCTGGCTCTTGAGTGGGCGTTCTGCGGCCCTTGGGTTAGTAGCGGCTGGCCGTAATGGCTTCCCTACGAAGTCCTGAGGGCTGTGGTCGCACGCCGAGAGTCGTTGATGCCGGGAGAGGGTTCATACCGCTCTCCCATAAATAACTCCGATGCGGTCTAGGCTTGGTGGTGGAGGATTGTCTCTTAGCTCTGGGGGAAGCTGTTGGTCCTGGGAAAGTAGCGGGCACCCTTAAAGGTGACCTGGTGGAATCCTGGGGTCTCTGTCGCTCACCAAAGGGCAACCAACGAGGATGATTGAACTGATTAATAAATCCTCAACGTCACCGATCTCGTGTGGGAGAGACTTTATAAGCTTCCGAGTGGGTGGTGGAATTACCCTTGAGTAGTAACAGGCACCTAAGGGAGCCTGTGAGGCTTCTGTTGGGGTTCCGGGCCCATGAGGAGCATCAATACGAAGAATGAATACCTATGACGGCGAGTGGTATCGTGAGCGGGGATCGGGGCCCAAGACTGGTGTCCCTGCGCCTTGGTTCGGCTACCTGACTGATCTGGGTTTCTTTCTGACGACGGGGGAGAACTGAACACTCTCCCCCTTACCTTCATGTGCGATTCAGGGGTTCGAATCGCTGGGGAAGAGTCTCTCAAGGCCAAGTCTCTCGCTCACCACGAGCACAATATTTGTGAGGAATGGACACTTGTGATTGAGGTAGTTCGGTTTCTCCTACTCGAGTATGCTTTGCATTGTTGTGCGTATGACCGGCGTGGTACACTTTGGGAAGCGAAAGATCGGACCACCTAGGCTGAGCCTATGGCGTCCTTCGAATGCGCATGGCAGGTGTAGGCTGAGCTCGAAAGGAGGTTTTTACCGTAGCCGGTGCTCCTCTAGGGGGTGGCTAGTAATTCCACTTTAAACGAAACCGCGGCCGGGGCGGATCCGGAAGTTTCTACACTATGGGAAGCCCCAATACTCTGGGTGATAGAGTGGTCTTCTCAATCTAGGGAGTGCGCGGGAGAACAGGCTGATGTATTTCGGCTTGTTAGCCCTTTGCGCGCGTCATACGACCCGATGCACAATGAGGGCCCGACTATTCGGAGTGGACAAGCGGAGAGCGAGGTTGTTTTGGCCCTTCGGGGCTGAGACGCCTCTACACCAATGCTGCGGCGGTAACACTACTCCGTCGTATGCGGAGGTGCTCTCATCTTGAGAATCAAAACGTCCGATATGGCCGAATAGGCCAGGTGCGGACGCTAAAGATCCTCTAGTCTTGTGACGACGAGTACTCGGGAAGCTCATGTATCTCACGAAGCCTCGAGGAACCGGGGCAACTTGCCTCAACTTGCCTCTAAGACCAATGTCCCGACATTTCCGATATATCGCATATCTCCACCTCCTTTCATACACTTTCTCGAGATCTTATTAAACATTAGAAACCATGATGGTGAACTCAATTTTGTCAATAGGCTAAAATTTACAATATTATTAACTGGACTAATTGCAATTTACCGTAGACTTTTAAAAAGAATTCAATTGTCATGAAAAATTGACTTATAAAAAGAATGTATGTTATTTTGTTTGACAATTTTATTTTTTATTTTTTTCGGGCAAAAATTATTTTGTATTGATAGAAAACCAATTTTTGCAGCTTTCTAATCTATGTATTTTCTTCTATCACCGTTTTTACACCATATGGCAGACCACATTTGATCAGAGCCTTGCCCCTTCAGACTACTTTCTACAACCATATTAGTCTATTACAGTCTGGAGTAACTTAATTCGTAAATACTTATCATTGGTTAATTTGTATAGTTTTGTCATCATTTTTTTAAATCTAATATTCAACTTTGTGATTTAGACATAATGATTAGTCCTAGAGTTCTAAAAAAAAGGGATCCCCACTTTTAGCATAGAGAGATGAAAGCTATTCAATTGTGCCATAAATGTGTGGTCATAAAAAAATGCGGAAGAAAAGTCCTCGGTCACAGTGGATTGTTTTGAAAGTAATCAGTGAGTACCTGTCAACGCTTGCTTTCCATACGGTCTGACAAACGGTCTTACATAGTTTTTAAAAGATAAAATTCATGTTTTCTTAAATTAAATTTTTTATATTAAAATGGATTTTTTAAACTTTAGAAAAGTAAGTTTTACTTAATTTGTTTAGTGTATATTGAGGCAATATTCAACACTTACATTTGATCTACTTACATGTGAGTTTAATATTTTTTTGTTTTTTTGTCTTTTTCAGTCATGGTACGATTACAAACTCCAATGGGATCCGAAAGAATACGGCGGCGTAGAAATGCTCCACGTACCTTCAGATCATATATGGCGACCTGACATCGTCTTGTATAACAAGTAAGTCCTCGTCTTAGAAAATGCAAAACGGGCTTAGACGCTTTTAGCTGGATCATGTTGTAAGGAAGCGGTTTAAAGACCCCTATAGGCGACGACGGTTGTTATTTATTGTTTCAAAGTGGTTAAAACGTGATATTAAAAATGCAACAACACATTCAACATAATAAAAATATGTAATGTACGTTTTACACGTAGTTTTCTTGATTCCACTCCGTTTATCGAACTTCTCACTTAAGTTAACGTTCCCTCAATTTTATTATTTGCACAACGTCGCAATGATTCATCGTGCTGATTTTCAAAATTGGAAATTTTAGCAGTAGATCTCAATCGTTAATGAGATTGATTGGGGGGCCCAGATGGCGACAGAATTCATGATGAAATTCCATTTTTAGACAAGCTATTAATCCGATGAAACTTTCTCATTTTACCTTGTGCTTTATTAATTCCAGAAAGGCTCTTTTATCTGTACTCTGGGTTAAACAAGTTTTACAAAGTTGCCGGCGGTTTGAATACTTTGTTTTTTATTTAATTTCTATTTTACACTTATCTTCCTCATCAACGTTTTGTTATTTGGGGGTTTTTATAAAGCCAATTTCTTGAATCCTAATTTTCTTAGTGAAAAATGTAAAAATGTGTAAAATAACCAAAAATGCCTTAAAATAGACTCCAAATGAAATATCTTATTATTAAGAAATTTTTAGTAATTTAGTAACTATAGGAAAAGTTATTTCAAAGAATATCAAGGATTGCCAAACGTTGCCATGAATTAACTACTTTTTCATCAAAATGATTTGTACATTCTTATTCTTTTACATTCGTCTTGTATTATATGTTTCTATTTGTAGCTGCTCCAGAAAAAATTGTTCAAACTGAAGAGTCTTGATTCGGATTTTTTAAACTCTGTTTTTTTTACCCGCTTTTAAATGTTTACGAGCAATAGAAATATTACACAAATAGATAAATTGAATAAATATACTTAAGATTGCAATATTGGCCTCAAATCTGTACTATTTACTATTTTGTTTAAACGAGAGTTCGCAACAGCAGAGGTTATATCAACCCTCGGGGAGCCGGCATTTTTTTTTTTAATTATCCCTTGTAGGATTTACTAAACCCTACTTTTCTGTTCCTAGGATTGTATTATTTTTTTTTTAAGCCCATTTGTATGTCGAGTTGAATGAAGGGCCGTTGGATTCGAACCCGGGACCTTTACCTTACCGTGATGCTCGCCGTATTTTTATTTTTGTTAAAAATATTTTATTGGGTAAAATAGCCAGTATTAAAGATTATTTAATACAATCCTAGGAACAGAAAAGTAGTGTTTAGTAAATCCTACAAGGGATAATTTTCAAACTTGATAAACTTTAAAGGCAACAATGTGAGGACTTCAGTTCTATTATATTCTTAATTGATCTACAAAAGCATTTATACTTCCAATTGTACACATTTTAATTATTTACATATGCCACTCCTTCGGAAGTAAGACACATCAAGACATTCTGTGTCCTAACCTTTTTTGTTCTGGCAAAACACCTTTGGTTATAGCTTTATTTGCGTTTTTTCTTGCATATCTATGGTAATAGCTTAGTAGTCCCTTCATGGGCGATTCATCATCTGCAGGAATGTGGGATACATTGGACATTAGCATCCTTAATGAGCATCTCCTCTCGCTAGTGGGGATGGGTCATAATTCAATCGATATTATAGTAACACGCATATATACGTGCACAAAGAGAGTAACGAAACCTTTTTTTATGCGTAACTAGTTTGACAGGTCTGAGGATTTGCTCTATATTCCGTCACAGACCTGTTCTACATTTAACCGCTCATGCAAATAAATACATTCTCACAGTAGAGCCTTTTTTTTTTTTTTTTTTTTTTTTTTATTGGCCTTGCATATTAGCCATAGTACGAATTCTTGTGTGTTCAAATTGGGGGTTATCGGGAAAAAAGGGCCAGAGGCGACGGTGGGAATCGAACCCACGACCGCGGCGTGAGAGTCTCTCATGCTAACCACTCGGCTACCGCCACATGACATGCTGACTTCTCCCGCTTGCCTCTTCCGAGGGGGTGGGTTAACGTTGTGCACTTAACCAGTGCCGCGCGTAAAGGGATACCCAAAAGGTGGTAGAAATGGATCGGCAAAGTCTCCCACGTACTCCCTAGATAGAAACGACAACTATGTTTCTCTGGGTGTAGAGGCTCCGCTAGCGTCGAAACCTCCGGATACGCCCACGGTTTCGATTTTAGTGAAATCTCTAACCACCCCTTGGAGTAGACCATGCCTTCGGTAAAGGCCGCGCTGTCGGCCGCCACCGATTAGCACCCGCCCCGTCCACCATTTTTCACGCATTCGAGGGACGTCGGCAGCAAGTCGTAGCTCCTCTGGCTGTACTCTCTCGGCAATCCGATCATGCAGAGGTCATGCGCAAGTACTACGTCCACGGCCACGAATGAAACACAGCCTTTTCTCTAGGTACCCGCCAGGGGTCTCACCAGTCAACCACTGCGAGTCCTCACCCAAGAAGCTGGGCTTGAACCTGGAACGAAAATACACTGCCCCGCAGTACATATGCACCCTCCCCCTTCCGTATTTATATATTCAAAACATACATTTAGACTGGATCTGGTAAATTAACCGGTGTGTGCCTCTGCTACAGCACCCTCCGTTCGCGGCCAGCTCTCATGCCAGCAACTCCCTTAACGCATCTCCGGGGACTAGGTAGGCGTCGTCTCAGCATCCTCGCACACTATACGATTCCTTGGTCCTGTCTTCCAAATGCATGCAGATTCTGCTTAAGGCGATGATGCACGCCAGGAAACACGACCAGCTTGGCTTTAGAGAGTTCGTTACATTCTCAAGGCTGCACAATTATTACCAGGAAACTCCCCTTGTAACAAAGAGTTGGGAAGGGTCTGCTGGAGTCTCCTAGGAGCACGCGCTGCACATTCTCAGGATTTGGATTGAGAAAAAGGTATACAGTTTTGCGAGATGCGCTTGCACACATCCCACCTGCTCGCTCGACGTGAAAGGGACCAACAATGAGGTAATGGTTTATCGTTTGGTATAAACATGTATAAACAAGGAACATTATTATATCACTAACATTCTCAACGCAACACACAAACGTGACACATCTACACAGAAAACACACTTTGTGTGAGTACAAATAGTTTGGTTAAACCTAAAATTATGTGTAAATCGTTGTATAAATTAATTTTCACATATTACATGTATTTCTATAATGTAATCAATGTTAGTAAATTCCAGGTCCTGAAGATGATCTAAATAAAGATTGAAACGTTGTCACAATAAAGAAAATGTTTTTCTAAACCTATATCACAGACCGCATCTCACGATCTCCAAATAATCACTAATTAACGGGCACTAAATACTAAACATAAATATGTTAATTCATAAATTTTTTTAAAATGTTCAGAAACATGCATACAGTTTTTCCACTAAGAATTCCCAAAAATATTTCTATTAAAATCGGTAATCCTATTTCCGTAGCCCCTTGTTAGATGGAGATAATTTTCGTTTTGGTTATTTCAATCAAGGGATGTTCATTTCCCATGTGTGATATGTTCATAAGAGCCCGTCGAGAGGAATTGTACGGGGTTATTTAAGGCCGTTCGCGTGGCATGCTCTTTGTCTTGTTCTATCTCGGCTTACACGAACACACCGATGCTGTGTTATACCGTTGAACGGTGCTCAGTCTTCGTTGATTCCGCCACAAGTCACACTCCTCACAACACCTTCCCGCTGACATATCACCTTCCCAGGGAGACACGTGTATAGATTTTCATCAAGGCCCGAAACATGTGGGGCTAATAAATATCCTAATCCGAGGTAGGCCGGGGCACTGTTTGTACACGTCTCACCCCCCTTTAAGCACGTCGCTTCTCCTTTTGTCTACAGTCGGATTTTATAGGGTTTACGACGGGCTCTGTCGTTTTTCTCACCGGCGTAAATTTTCTTTCCGTGACAAAGGGGGAAAAAAGAAGGCGTCATGATCATGCAGATAAAAGAAGGATCTCCCAAGCGAATGTCTTTTTGTTCTATCTGGAAAATATTCAGCCATGACACTTTTTCAGTGCGACTAAAATCAAAAAAGTTATACAAAGAAACTATACTAATTATAGAGATAAAAATATTCTTAGTAAAATAAGGGGTTTGTAGAATTTTCGAAAATTTAATTGTTTCCCGTTAAATTAATCATTTTCCCCTCAAATTTAAACCGTTTTAGTTTTAAACTATTGCCTCAAATCAACCATTTTTAATTGCAGGTTAATCTTTTTTTACCTTAAAATTAACCTTTTTTAATTTATTGTTTTTAAAATCCAAATTAAACCGTTTTAATTTCAAATTAGTTGTTTTTAATTTCAAATTAATGTTTTATTACATCAAATCAATAATTTTTAATTGCAAATTAATATTTTTTACCTTCAAATTAACCTTTTTTTAATTTCAAATTGATCGTTTTTAAAATTCAAATTAACCCGTTTTAATTTCAAATTAGTTGTTTTCAATTTTCAATTAATCTTTTATATCATCAAATCAATCATTTTTAATTGCCAATTAATCTTTTAATCTTCAAAGTAACCTTTTTTTAATTTCAAATTGATCGTTTTTAAAATTCAAATTACCCCTTTTTAATTTCAAATTAGTTGTTTTCAAGTTTTAATTAGTTTTTTATAGCATCAAATCAATCATTTTTAATTGCAAATTAATCTTTTAGCCTTCAAATTAACCTTTTTTAATGTCAAATTGACCGTTTTTAAAATTCAAAGTAACTTTTTAAATATTAAATTAGTCTTTTTTAATTTAAAATTAATGTTTTATTGCATCAAATCGACTATTTTTAGTTGTAAATTAATCTTTTATTACCTTCAAATTGTTATTTTTTTATTTTTTAAATTGACCGTTTTGAAACTCAAATTAACACTTTTTAATTTCAAATTAGCTGTTTTTAATTTCAAATTAACAGTTTCCTTAAAACAAATAAAACTCTAGAATGTGGTATAAAAAATGTAAACAAATAAAATTTCTTCATTTAAAAAATTATTATCAAATAATTGGGCTATTAGTAAACCACATGAATATTAATTACAATTAAAATTTAAAATTATATAAAATTAAATATTAAAAAAGATTTTTCTTTTAATATGAGATGTTTTAAATAATCGTTAATAAATTCAAAATAATCGGGCTTTTAAAATCTAAATTTTTTAAATTAATAGGAGAATTTATTATCATTTATTTAGAAGAGAATTTATTATTATTATAATTATAATTATTAATTATTAACTTTATTGTAATAATTATATATTTTAAAACAATAACATATTTAGGGAAGAATCATTGGTTTTTACATTTATTTTGATCAAATTTTAATTGTATTTTAAACCCATTTTTATATGGTTTCCTAACATAATTTTACACCAACTCTTCTACAAGTTATAGTTAAAAAAGCTTAATTTGAAGCGCAAAAAGTGTATTTGAAATTAAAAAGGTTTAATTTGGTACTAAACCGTTTTAAGTCTAGTTTTTAGATGTTTCATCGGTTTCATAAAATAACTTTTTGGTTCAATGTTTTTTGACGTAACAAAGAGATTTCCGAACTAGTTCATTTTTAAAAACTTTTCGTTGGTCCGGGTTTGATATCTTAATTTTCATAGAAGTTGAATTGAAAGTTTTACTAGATACACTTTCATTCTGTAGGAATACTACAATAGCATGTATTTTAAAAGAAACAAATTATTTCTTTAAAAAATAAAATGCGCATACATCAAAAGATACCTATACAACAGACCATAACGACAACGCTAAAAAAATATTTATCAATTTGGACCAAAATTAAGGAAGTTAGGGAAAGGGTGAACATCATCCATGGGACACGCTGTAAATACGTAAATAGCATTTTAAAAAATTTTAAGATAGACATAAATAAAGAAGTAGTTTATCAAGGTAACGTTTATCTGCTAGGTCACATCAAGTTTGGAGTTGATGTTGGGTGGTCTGCGAGTCGGTCGATGCTACCCGCGAGAGATGACGGACCCAATAAGTGACCCACTGCCGGCCCAGCATATCATTATTTCAATTGTCCTTTCCTACATCAAGAAATCCAAGATATTTCTTTAACGTTTTCATCAGCATTCCCAGAATCCAGAGGGGTTTCAGTGAAAATATTAAAAACGGTATTTTTCAACAAAATCCGACAACTGTTCGAAATACATTCCAAGCGCAAATGCATATGTCATAAATATTTAAATCATTGTACTTCATCGCTGTATTTTTTATAAACTCAACCATCTAAAGTCACATATTTTCATTTATTCAAATAATGTACCTGTTATCCGAAAACTGAAAATATTTTATATAACAAAAAGGAAAAACATGTCTGCTAAACGTCCAAAAGGTTCAAAATAAAAAAAATGAATTTCTAGCGTTATTTCTTGTATTGCCTGAGATCAAAGCGATCATCGAACGTCTGGAAAATATGAAAAGCCGTTTTTCTCATCCGTCAGAATAAGTCAAAAGATCTTGCTCTCCGTGTTTTATTTCTACTGGCATCAAATATATAGGAGAGACTTTTAAAATAAATTTAAATGTTTTTTAACTTATATTTTAACAACTAGCGTAATTGTTTAATAATAATAAATTGCCTTTATTTAAATTGAAATTTGGACAATGTAATATCTGCTTATTAGATAGACATGGGTATATAATAATACCCATATAATAATATACAGTAAGATATACAGTATTAGCAGGCTTTAATTAAAACATAAGTAAATACTGATAACAGTGATAAAATATTTGTATTTTTAATGGTAAACTACCGGAAATACTTTTGTTATAAGTATTCCTGTCAAGTTGAACCGTCAAACATTTTTTTAAAAATTCTTCTTAAATTGCGCTCCTTGGCATAAAAGAATAAATATAAAAATTTAGTAAATTGTTAAATAAGGATAACGGCCAAATGTTAGGCTAGAATCTCTATACAGTCAGCTTGTTGATCAGCTTATCAGCTTTTAGTCATATTAAGCAACTTTTACTCAGAAATTCTTGAGGCTTCATTGACCTGCATTGCACAGGACATCGTCCAAAGATAAGTTACTTAAGTGATGGTTTTTTTTTCTTCACAGCGCCGACGGAAATTTTGAGGTGACCCTCGCGACGAAAGCAACGCTCAACTACACCGGCCGAGTCGAGTGGAAACCCCCTGCCATTTACAAGTCTTCCTGCGAGATCGATGTTGAATATTTTCCGTTCGATGAGCAGACCTGCGTCATGAAGTTCGGCTCTTGGACGTACGATGGCTTCCAGGTAAATAAAACGATCACAAATGTCTTTTCAACTACTAATAAACCAATAGCAATACGAAAGTATACTAAAAAAAGTTCATTCTAACTTGTAAGACAATTGCTGAAAAATATTGCTGTTGAAAAATGTATGCTTGACTGCGTTTACCTGAACAGTTTACGTCTTGCTAAACATAAATTTCTCGAAATTTCGCTAAATATTTAGCCATAGAACAAGATACATAATTCATGATCTGTACTTTTACCATTAACTGTTTAAGCCATTTTTTATATAAAAAATTAGGTTTTTCATTCGATCCTTGTGGGTTCACAAAGGGAAAACAACACCCTCATAAATTTTATCTTTATGAATTTGCGCATCGATTTTCAATTTGTGATGCCGAGATTGAACGGATGAACAACTAACTAATCGTGAAGTTTTGCCCGGGAGTCGACTCGACACTCGAACAAAGACTAACTTATTGACTATTGACTACAAAGGACGTCGATCAAATAGAATCCTAATTTCCAACGCCGCTTGTAGCCGTTTCAATTTTCCTCGTGAACGTGAATCTCGTCAAAGTGATTTTTGCAATTTATCCATATTTCGTCTCTCTCTTTCTCTCTCTCTTGCTCTGTCTCTCTCTCCCTCTTTTTCTCCCTTTCTTTCTTACTTTCTATCTATAGTTGTCTATCTATCTTGTTCCTTAAATCCATGGAACCTTTTGTCTAACTCCCTTTCTCTCTGTCTCTTACCTAGCCTATCTTCTTTTCTTTCTCGCTCTGTATCTATAGTTATCTACGTATATTATTTTGTTCCCTGCCTATATTCTATGTAACCCTTTATCTTACTCCATTCATGTCTGTCTTTGTCTCTCACTCTCACTATCTTCTTTTCTTCCTTGCTCTGTATATATATATTTTGATCCTTACCTATATATCATCAATCTATATAACTCTTTCTCTTACTCCCTCCCTCTCTCCCACCCACTCTCTCTCCCTCCCGCACTCTCTCTCTCTCTCTCTCTCTCTCTCTCTCTCTCTCNTTCTCACACCCTTTTTCAGTTTATGTCTTTCTTTCAGTCTGTCTTTCTCATTTATTCTCTCTCTCTCTCTCTCTCTCTCTCTCTCTCTCTCTCTCTCTCTCTCTCTTTCTGTAATGTAGAATGTGTATAAATAATTTCTGTACATATTGTTTCTCAGTGGTAACATTCAAGTTATAACGCCTAGTTTCTGTTGTTGCATAACCTTCATTTATGATTGAAATACTTTTTTTGAAGATGTTATATCCAGCTTGCTTCCGAAAAGCCAAAATATGACTTACTATTATTACGAGAGAGAGAGAGAACATGTTATGGTTTGAGCAAATCTAATTATCTGATCACGAATAGCTACGGTCAGTCCAAACTATAAGGATACTTGTTACTATATCACAATGATATAACACTAATTCATACATTTCCAACTGCTACTGTTCGATTTTTTTCTATGTTGAGTACTTTTTAATAATAGCAGGGGATAAACTCGTATGTTGGCACCCTGTGAGTTGGTTTTATTTTTAAAGCAAAAGTTTGTTTCATTATTGGACAAATGAAGGGACTAAAGTCTGTTTGATGCTAAACATGACAGAGAAAGTCGGTGAATATATTCCCCACGAATGCAGTCCTTGCCTAAAGTTTTAATCAAAAAGAATCCACGGTGCCCTACTTGAGAAATGTAAGATTCTCCTTGTATTACAGACACAAAAACTGAATACATTTTATGACTAAATGTATAATTTAAAAAATGTTATGATTATTGAAGGTGGTATAAAAAGATGAATACAAATTATAAGGAAAATCACGCATTAATTTGTAATCCAGTGTGCCCTATTCATTTTATTAATAATGCGTTTTTCCGCAGCATATGAGTTTTCAAAAATGATCATTTACCGTGAATTGAACAGGTTAAATAAAAGGCTGAATACAAACATTATTTTTTAATTTAAGAATAGGTTTAAAGGTTTACTTAATTTGCGTTTATCCGGTAACGGTCTAAATTTTCCTGTTGGTAGGTTCAACGGTTTAGTTGGAGTGCTGCTTAAAGGAATTAATTGCGTCCCCTCGTAGCTATATGACCAAAGTTGGCAAAGGGTTTTATCGCTGTAGGAACGGAATGGACTTGTAATCCTCCCGGTCGTCCCGGGTAGATTGCATCCTTGGCCTTGCTGCAAGACTCCCGTTTTAAAATACCATCCTGTCTATGTTAGGGCTGGAGGACGTTGTTGCCTTGGCGGTAATAAAAAAAAACCTGGGGCAAGGGGAAGGAAATACCTTCCTCCGGGCGCCTTTTTGCCCTTCTTTACGCTCCCTTTTATCCTGCAATTAAATCCGGAACATTTTAAAAATGAGCTGGATTCGCCCTTGAGATGAGCACTCTTGAAACAAAAAGCGGAGAAAATAAAAGTAAGCCTAATGTCGGTTTTAATGGAAAACAGGAACTTTCTAACAGCTTGAGTTGAAAACCTTGCACACTATCGGAGACGAGAATCAAATAATTGCAATAACAAATACAAACTATATAGTATATGAGAAAATTATATACATATATTTTTTTACCCTTTCCACCACCCCGCCGTACCTGAGGAAGACCCCATACCGGCGGACAAACGCTTTAGCTTAATCAAATTTGTATATCTAAGGGATTTCAAATAAATGGGATAAAAATACCTCCCAACGATCTTTCCTTCAGGCGAAACCGCTGGTCGGTTTTTGAAGGGACCATATTTTCATTTTAGAACATAAAACAAAAGGTCTTCCCTTGCAGGTTTCCCCTTGCACATTTACTTTTCCTTGGTTTTATTTTCTATCTATTTATATTATCTAAAATTTTCTTACTAAGAAGAGGAAAACAGCCCGGAACCCTAAACCTAAACCTATGTTTAATTATGCAATAAATAAATAACGGTAATAAAACTCTAACAATAATAACAATATTTAGAACTTAATAATTAGAATAAATAGGGACTTGTTCATTTAAGGCAAAGTCTTTTTGTGCTCCAAAAGATTTGATATCACAGACTAGCTTTTGGAGATTAGGCGGCCATTCTGCTGAGGTGACGGTTTTTCGCAAACGTTCTCTTTCTGCCTTGAATTTGATACAGCTGAAGAGTTTATGTTCGGCGTCTTCTTCAGTGCTGCAAACGGAGCATAAAGGGCTTCTCTTTTCTTATATTTATGAAGATAGCTTGCGAAGTTTCCATGTCCTGATAGCATTTGGGTGGTCCAGTAGTCGGGGCGTAGCCATTTTCCTTTTTTCAACGCTTGGGAAAAATTTGGATGTTAGTCGACCTTTATTGCTATTTGTCCATCTTTCTTGCCATGATGCCCTTGTCATTTTTCCCAAGTATTCTTTTGCCTCCTTCCCCGTTGTGCTTCGGAACCAGTCTATTTCTCCTTGGCTTGCTTCATCATATCAATAGCCTCATTTTTCTTTTTTTGATGGATGACCACCCTTTCTTTAAGGACAAGGTCTATTGGCGGTGCGTTGGCTATTACTGGTATAAAATATATATATATATATATGAAGTGCGATGCAGATAAAACAGATAAAAATGAGAAGCAGATAAAAAAAAATATATAGATATAAATATAACAATATATATTGTTATTCATTCAAAGTATATCTAGTGATGTAGTGTGTTGAGAGTGACAGAGAAGCAGACAAAAATTTAGTTTATTATAATTTCTAAATTTGTATGTATTTAAATTTTGATTGATTTCATTGATTAATATCAATTATTTAGAGAGAGATAGAGGAGATATTTAGATAGATCGATAATGAGAGAGAGGGGAAGGGAGTGAGGGAGAAAATAAGAGATAGGGGTAATTTTGGTTTATGTAATCACTGGCCATTTGATGAATCTAATTTCCTTCAAATAAAAGTCTCATAAATACATACTATTAATAATTAAAAATGTAAAACAAGTTAGTTTAAGAATTATTTTACCTAGCAAATGCCAATTATATGTGGTTCCTCGCGACGTACAATTAATTAAGGTTTTTAGTTGAGACGAAAAAAAGTTAATGGCACGAGAGGGATTCGAACTCACGACCTTCGGCTAGATACGCCGCTGCTCTACCACCTGAGCTATCGTGACCTCGATCCACACGGACATCAACTTCCCATCTCAACCCCACCTTATGAGTTTTCCCTCCTTTTACCATTTTTCGTCTCAACTAAAAACCTTAATTAATTGTACGTCGCGAGGAACCAAATATAATTGGCAAGATCGATTGCAAGAAGATGGCCGTGTAGTTGCTACCAGCTTTGTTTTGTTCGAATATTCACACTTGTTTACCACAAATGCCTATTGCAGACTCATTTCAACTAAAATGTCTCTCCACAATAAGAATAATTCCAGTCAAATGGAAAATGTTCATGACTATCTAATTCTTTAAATTCACTAATTTCGTGGTCCGCCTGACCAATTAATACATTACGATTAATTAAGGTTTTTAGTTGAGATGAAAAGCTCAAGTGGTAGAGCAGCGGCGTATCTAGCCGAAGATGGTGGGTTCGAATCCCGCTCGTGCCATTGACTTTTTTTCGTCTCAACTAAAAACCTTAATTAATTGTCCTGTATTAATTGGTCAAGCTGACCACGAAAGTAGTGAATTAAAAGAACAGTGATGATTCTTACTTTTTTTACAATACAAGACGTATCTTTGTACTAAATTTCATGTTTCTAACTGCACGTGAAGTGCCTTATAATTTACTACACCCTCTTTCCCTAAAGTTGCACTAATTTTGAGAAAAATGCACATTTCCGATTTTCTCCTTTACTTGCTATACAAAACTTACCTTTTTAGCGAATTTCACGTTTCTAGCTGTTCGGTAAGTACCTTTATAATATTGATGATATGTGAGTCAGTCAGTAACAAAAAGGCAAATTTTGAAATTATCCCCTTTCGAAATGGGTTAATATTAATTACTCAAATTTTTACATTGGCTAAGTTTAATTTAAGTTTCAAATTTTAAAAGCCC